TGTAGCTTTGCCTCCTTGTAGCTTTGCCTCCCTGTAGCTTTGCCTCCTTGTAGCTTTGCCTCCCTGCAGCTTTGCCTCTCTGTAGCTTTGCCTCCTTGTAGCTTTGCCTCTTTGCAGCTTTGCCTCCCTGTAGCTTTGCCTCCCTGTAGCTTTGCCTCCTTGTAGCTTTGCCTCCCTGTAGCTTTGCCTCCTTGTAGCTTTGCCTCTCTGTAGCTTTGCAGCTCTGTAGCTTTGCCTCTCTGTAGCTTAGTAGCTTTGCTTCTCTGTAGCTTTGCCTCCCTGCAGCTTTGCCTCCCTGTAGCTCTGCCTCTCTGTATTTTTGCCTCCCTGTAGCTTTGCCTCCCTGTAGCTTTGCCTCCCTGTAGTTTTGCAGCTCTGTAGCTTTGCCTCTCTGTAGCTTTGCCTCCCTGTAGCTTTGCCTCCCTGTAGCTTTGCCTCCCTGTAGCTTTGCAGCTTTGCAGCTTTGCGGCTTTGCCTCCCTTCCCCCTCACCCTTTTGGGGCCCCTGAACCTGCAGACAGTGGAGTTGGGGGGGCAGCCGCCCTGGTTCTCCAGGCAGGGGTTCTGGGGGACGCAGACGCGGCCGTCGCCATGGTAACCGTGCAGGCAGGCGCAGCCGATGGTCGCCGTGCCGACCGAACTGCAGCCGGCGTTCGGGTGGCAGTCCTTCGGGTAGCAAACAGCTGAACGGAAATCAAACACTGAGAAATCAAACTCCCGCTGTTACAGCTACATCTAGAGCTACAATTATAGCTACAACTACAATTACAGCTACAGCTACAACTACAGCTACAATTACAGCTAAAGCTACAGCTACAACTACAACTACAACTTCAACTACAGCTACAGGTACAGCTACAGCTACAATTATAGCTACAACTACAGCTACAATTATAGCTACAGCTACAGCTACAACTACAGCTACAGCTACAGCTACAGCTACAGCTACAGCTACAGCTACAACTACAGCTACAACTACAGCTACAGGTACAGCTACAGCTACAATTATAGCTACAACTACAGCTACAATTATAGCTACAAATACAGCTACAACTACAGCTACAGCTACAGCTACAGCTACAACTACAACTACAATTACAGCTACAACTACAACTACAATTACAGCTATAACTACAACTACAATTACAGCTACAAGTACAACTACAGCTATAACTACAGCTATAGCTACAACTACAGCTACAGCTACAGCTACAACTACAACTACAGCTACATCTACA